GGCAGAAATCAGCTACATTAAACTGTGAAAGGGCTCAGGCCACTGTATCAGCCATAATGGGGCAAGGGGAAGTAGTTTTCAGGAGAAAATGCTTAGTCAGGTGTGAAAACATCCTTACAAAATAAACAGAGCAGGGTAAAATAAAATCTTTATTTTTTCAGGGAATGCTTCCTCACTGGCATCAGATTTTTGTGTTTGTGACTCAGTGCCCATCCCTTCCCATCTAGTGGTGGGTCTGGTTGGTTTTAGCCTTTCTGTGACCCCAAATGGTTGCACTGAGATCCGCTGGGTTGTAGCTCCCTGCTGGAGTTTGGGGTGCTTATGCTGGTCTGGATGCTCTCCCTTGGGTGCTGGTCTCTCTGGCAGGAAATGGAATATTTTATTTTCAACAATATCTTGGAGTTTACTCCTCCTTGTCGCTTATGTTTCTGAAACTTACAGATTTTGGGAGGAGGAAAGTTCATTCCAAGGCAAATCCAGCAAGAGACCAACTTAGAGGGAAAAAAAGACAATCTCTTGTGAGCATCTTCGGAGCTGCAGTGCAGGAGCAGCTCAGGAACATCTGTTAACATTTCCCTGCCCATAGCATAACTGCAATAGCACCATCTGGAAAATACAGGGAGACAAGTTATAAACCTATTTTTAATGTGAGCTGGTACTGAATGGGACCCTTTGCCTAGCCCAGGGAACAGCTCCGGGTGGGCTGCTAATTCACGACCACCTCCGACCTTCTGCATCCACCCCGGAGGAGAGGGAAAGGCTGACAAACCCTCTTCTGTGCTGCTTTTGTTTTATTGTATTAGGCTCATAAAGGCACTCTCAGGGCCCATCTTTCTCCAGCGGAAAGGAAAAGCCAGGGGGGGGAACGGGAAAGAGGAGGACGTAGCAAAAAAAAAGACAGGCGGAGCTCTAGCTCCATTTGTTTTTGGTGGAGGGTGATTAATAGGTTTGAAGGTGAATGGCAAGCTTGGGGTCCTGTGTGATGGGGCAGGAGAGGGGGCCTGGGGCACTAGTGCTCATCCATCTCCCCTGTCCATGGTCCCACTTGCAAGGGATGCCCAGCATGTGGGATGCAGGGTCTTGGGGCACACTTCAGAGGTGCCCCACGACCTTACTGTCCTCCAGGGCAGGAGCTTCTCCCTGCCCTGAGCTGTGAGGATGGAGGAGAGAGGCAGTGCTGTAGGGTCGGGCAACATTGCTGCTGTGGTGGGGTGGTGCTTTGCTTGGAGACGGGATGCTTTTTGCAGATTTTAGTAATGCCACATTACCCCCATGAGGACAGAGCTTCTGGCACCTTGGCATGTTCTTCTCTTGAGTTTATACCATGTTTTATTATTAAAGCCAAACAAGCTACAAATTTGCAAACAAAAACTGCAGTTACAAACTCTGCCTATTTAAAGGTGGTTTTCTCTTTGTGTGCCCAACAATGCAATGTTTCATCTTGTTCAAGTCTTATGTTGCTTTCAGAGACTTAGGAACTATTGATTTATACAGCATGTATTAACTTCTTCAATAAATGGGGAGTATTCATCAGTGGGGTGTATTAAATTGGGCTGTATACACATAGAAGCATCTTTCATCCTGTTAATGAAATGTCCTTACCATGCAACAAAGACTAATACACAGCAATTTACACACACAATCCCCTGCAGTTTAAATCTGAAGTTCAGTTGTTGTTTTTTTTTCCCTAGAGGCTCCTATCAAACTTAGGCTAAATGGATCTCAGAATCCCTCTCTAACATATATCAGTCCAAAATTTGTTGAATTTGTTACCTTTTCTTTTTTCTTTTTTTTCTTTTTTTTTTTTTTTTCATTCCACGGCTCAATTGTTGTTTAAAATCATCTGTGTTTAAGCGCTCCCAAAAGCATTTCAAATTCATATATAGAGATTTAGTAGTTGGGTCCCTATGGGGACAATTTCCTCTGGTTTGCTTCAGGCAGGGGTTATCAAGAAAAGCAAACTTCTGTTGTTTTTTTGCAATTCTTTACCATGCCTTCTAACCTAGCGCATGAGACCCCAGCTTCCAATGCAGACAAGTGATTTACCAGCAGATGACTTGGTGCTTTGTAGATGCTGAGATTTCTCTCCAGAAATCTCCACTTACTCTTGTCCTATTATCACATGCACTGATGCTAATCTGCATGTGCCCTGTGCAGCTTTGCTTTCACTTTCTGACATAGCCATAAATGGAATTCTTCAAGTTGCCAGAGAAATTCCGGCATCTCACAACAGCTTTTAGCTTAAAAGTGCCCTTCCTGAAGTACTCACAAATGTGCCTTGGAGAAGGGCCTTTTGCAGGGGGTTGGGTGGCTGAGGTCACCTAATAGGTGTCTCCTATTGACTCTTCCCTGGTTTACCTTTCATTGCCAGTGGATGGGGTTAGGACCACACTTGTTTCTCTGGCCGAGCTCCCATTGACTTCAAAGGAAGATGCATATGCAGGATTAATCCTGCTCTTTCCCAGCTAGTCCTTTCTTTTTCTCTTTTCCAAGGAAGCTCAGTTAACTTCAGGAGTTCTGCTTTTAAAGAGTAGCTCATTATCATACTGTGCATGATTAGCTTAGCTTGCAAGTTGTGTGTGCTATTCTGAGCAGAGTGAATACCTTTTCCCAGTGTGTAATAAACTCTGCAAAACAGGGTGCAATCCAAGCCGAGGGCAGCAATACAGCTGCTGACTGATTTTTGAGCATGGAGATGTTAATTTCCCATTTTTTCCCCAGTACATTCTCCCCACACCTCTGCCCCAGCACCATCAGAGCTGCTAAGAAGTATCCTGCCCTTATACCTACTACCTTTATATGAGTCATCCAACTTCAGGGCAGTCGTCCAAGAAAAGTGACTTACCTGGGGAAAAACTTTGCAGACAAGTCTAGGCTGTTGATTTTTTGTTATTGATTTTCCCCTTTCCATTCCATTTTTTTTCTGTGAAAAGGGTTAAGTAAAACCATAACGATGTAAAAGCCATGCCATTTTGGCAAGAAATTGCAGGGGTCTTGGTTTATCAGAGCAGTGAAAAGTGGTTTCCCATGGTATACGTGTAACCCTCTATGGTATGTATATATATATATATAGGTGTGCAAGTCTATTGTTCTCCTCAAGCATTGTTTCTTGTTTCTTGGCTTATGCCTAACCCTCCTTAGGGGGTTCTTCTATCCCTTACTTGTGTTTTTAACTAACAAGTTCCAGTTGAGAACAAGCTCTCAGTGGAAGACAGAGCACTGTGCTGTTTTAAAGCCCTTCAGGAGCTGGATGAGGTTTTTAGCAGCAATGTGCAGATGTAATTGGGAGAGCAGAGAGCTCCATCAGCCAACAGTCATGCTTTGGCCACCAAAGAACAATCTGTGGCCAGCAGAAATCCCTCTCGTTGAGAACATTGCTGTCTGCAAACTAAATTTCAGCTAGCCACTTGGCCATGTACAATGCTATGCTGTTACGCTTGCTAAATTCTTCAGTACTTTCAGAGTGTTGAGGGCTGGTTCGCTTGGAAGAGAGCAGATTTTTGGTCAGAGCACCTCTGGAAAGAAGGGGCTAAGTCAGCATGGCTTCTCTGATGATGAGGCTGGCTCTGTGCAGCCGTGAGCTGCCCATGGCTCTACAGCTGCCCTCAGACCCAGCACAGGGCCTGCTGAGCCCAGAGTGCCATGACTCATGTGGGCTTTTCTGTGCCACAGAGCTGAACCATTCTCTGCAAGGGCTGCAGGAAAGTAGATCCTGCCGTCGTTTCTCAAATAACTGAATTGTTTCTGAAAGGCTTCTATGAGAAGCTGAAAGGGTCAGAGCTGAGGTGCCTGGGCTCCAGCACTGGGGTGCTGTGCTGGCAGCGGTGGGCGTCGGATGGCAGCGGCGCTGTCGGGGCTGCCCTGCTCTCGCTGCTCTGTTTTAATGTGATTCCTTTTACTTGATGTTAATGCAAGTTGTTCCTTACTTAAAGTAATAAAAGGAAATGAAGACACATTCTAAAATGAAACCTGACTCTAATCCATTCATCATCTAATACCAGCCTCTTTATCTTTGCTGGTACCTAATCTGGTTAAATGTCCCTGTTGTAGGATTTTAGTGAAAATCCTCTATGGGGAATAGGGTTTTTTGCAATTGGATTACTCGCAGTAAATGGTCCAGCAGTTCGCTTGTTTCAGCTTAATTTTTTCTTTGTGATCTTGTAAGGGTAAGTTACAGTTCAGCCTGTCTTTTCCTTTCATTCATTGACTCGTTCTTTTTTTATTATTATTGTTGTGAAGAAAAAGATATATATTTCCCCCCACTCAGAGCTAGGAATGTGAAAAGAAAAACGTCCTGATATCTATGTGATTCTTCCCCCCACAAGAGTTTTAATTTCAATGGCTTTATCTGTGTTTTTGCCATTATTTATATAGATAAATATTTTAGTAGCCTATTTCATCAGTATCCAGTTTTCATTTATTAGCGCTCTCTGATGAATTGATAATTAATCAGCTCCTCCAAAATATATATATATAAAATATGCAGGTGATTGCTTGTCAGATTAATGCTTGCTGATGAAGGGAATACTCTTGCACTACAAAGGCTTTTTATCTGGAGTATTTGCAATGAGCAGTAAAATGCAGAACTGAAAGTGAGGACAGGAAGGGGAAAGGAAAAGACCTACAGGTCAGTGAGCATTCGGGTCTCTTGCTAATTAAATGGGGAACTCTGTCAGCCCCTCACTGAGGAGTCTGCCTGCATCTTCGAGGTGAAGCACAAGATTATAAAATAGAAAGGACAAATTTTAAAGAATCGCTGTTGTTCCGTACAGGAGCACGACAGGTCAAAAAGATGAAAGAAACTCAAGAGCAGGGAAAGTGTGTGAGCAGATTTTAAGCAAGAGGGTGGGAAAACTGCAAGGTTGGCACCAAGAAGGGATCCGGAAGAGCATGGAGCTCACAGCAATCCTGGGTGCTCTGTTTGCTGCATGTTGTGCCTTGTGCTGCAGTGGGGAGAGTGCAGCCTTCCTCTAATGCCATCGACCTTTCTCTCTTGACAGTCTAACAAAGTGCCAGTTGTGCAGCACCCGCACCATGTACACCCTCTTACGCCGCTTATCACATACAGCAATGAGCACTTCACACCAGGAAACCCTCCTCCACACTTACCAGCCGACGTAGATCCAAAAACAGGTAGGTGAGAAATAGTTTTGGGTTTTGAGAGAGTGTGGGTGGATCTCTCCATTCTTCATATTATGGGGAAGGATTTCCCATGCTGGAGCACCAAAGGAGGCATGTAAAATGTCAAATGCATGTGAAAATCTGGACAAAATAGTTTCTTTTGAAGCTAATTGGGCTTCAGAAGGAAACCCACTGGGTGAATTTTCGTAAAGCTTCTGCAAAGTGCCACCAGACTTGCATGTGTGGGGTCGTTTGCAGTTGTGTTTCTGTGCAATCGTGATACCCCATCCAGTAGTCAGATCTGCTAACTGCTTGGTTTGCATGCACGACCCAGACAGTTAAACATGTACGTTCTGTGATCTGCACTTACAAAATTGCAGCTGGAATTTTAAAGGTGGTGGGTCATGACCAGTTTCAAAATGAATCTCTTTTAATTCCCCAAATCCCATTGTTTCTGTGTCAGGAGTTCAGCCATTTTTCTCCTATAATGTTGAATTTTCATCCACTCTAACTACTTAACTCAAGCTATCTTCTTGCAACTCTTTTCCCCAATGTAAGTCTACCCAACTCTCAGTTCAGCCTGAAGGGCAGTCTTCGTGAATATAGAGCAATGTGTAAAACCCTGACTAGATTTTTTGGTGTTACAGAATAGAATTTACATGTTATTCTAACTTTTAAAGAGTCCCTGTTTAACCCGAGGGCCCAGAGAAGTCAAACAGCGTCAATCTTCTTTCTTCAGGCTGCACTGAGCTCCTAGTGACAGTGGTTTTGTTTTTGTTAATCCAAGTGCCAGCTAGTTAATTGGAAAGAGCATCTGAAACTGAATCCGTGTTCAGAGTTTGTCAAAAGAATTGCCCTGTGTTGCCCTAACATATGCAGATAATTTATTTAAGCTCCAGCCCTTGAACGAGGCAGTGCATTAGCTGTTTTTCACTCCACACGCTTCAGTGGGGGCCCCTTTTAATTGTCCTTAATACTAACTTCACGTGGCTTAAAAGGAATCCATCTCGTCGTCACTGGGTATTGCAAGAGAATAGCATAGTCAACCTCTCATTTAAATTATGGTAGTACAGGGAATAGCTTTTAAATGGTTATCGTAAAACATATGATTAACGTCTGTAGACTGTTTGCTTTTCTTCAGTGAACATTCTTTCAAGTGTGCAAATAGCTCACCGGATGGTTAAAGCCCAGTTAATCTGTTTGGTTTTTGTAATGGAGAAAAAGCAGTGTCTGCATGAAAATATCACACAAGGAGATTTAATTTAGAGATTAAAAGCTTCCCGAGTGACTTAAAAAAATAGTTGTTAGCCATTATTGTGGTACCCCCTCCTTTTAACGTCCTCTGTTTTAATTTTGCTTTAGCTATGTAATTGTGCTCTGACTTGTTACTTGAAAGACTCAGTCCTGTAGCCTTTACTCCTCCCCTGGGTAACTCCTACTTGCTTCCAAAGCAAGGATCCTAAGGTTTGAGCTTCCACCTGGAGCTGGTTTCTGCTCCCTGAGTGGGAGTTGCACCAGTTTCAGAGAGAATTGATGGTCCCCCTGTCCTACCCACCACACCTTCAGCCTCTGCCCCCCATTTTACCAAGCACTTCCAGGCTCTGTCATCACTTTCATTTTTCTGCTCTTCTGTTAGGTTTTGCAGAAGTTTAGGAATGCAAAACCAAGAGTCTTTCACGTGCCTCAAAAGCAAACACCATTTGCAATTATAACAACTTTCTAACTCTTTTTGGAGGTTGCTTTGGAATATTGCCCTGCTATTGAGTATGCAGTTAAAGTAAGGGTAGAGCCTGTGCTCTTTTGGAGAGTTTGAGAGTGAATAAACCACAAACTTGATTGTTCTGTTGATCACTGAAGACAGCACCTAGCACATCATCTCACCAGAACAGTAGCTGAGGCTTCTACATTCTTCACTTTAATAACAAAATAATTATCTTTGAGGAGATGACAGAACTGCATCAGTTTTTCTGGTTGAAACTCATTTATCAAGATGCCAAGAGGGCATTTATAAGACTGTGAAACAACTTTTAAAAACTCAAAGAAAAGTCACGAGCATTGGAGTGAGAAAGAACAGATAGCGATGTAGAAACATAATTTTACCTTATGTTTACTTTCTCCAGTGTCTCAACACTAATCTCACTTTATGTTCCTTTTCCACAGGAATTCCAAGACCTCCACATCCTCCAGACATATCTCCTTATTATCCCCTATCACCAGGCACTGTAGGACAAATCCCCCATCCGCTAGGATGGTTAGTACCACAGTAAGGAGTTCCATTTTTTTAATTTCCATTTTCTTTTTGATGTGTAAAATTCATGTTAAAAATTGTTTGTGTGCGCGCCTGTGTGTACGTATTGAGATAAGTCTGTTTGCCAACTGCCACTTTATTGAGTGATTATCAATTTACCCATCTCATAAAAATTAATTAAAACTCGCACCAAGTCATGTGGTCTTAAACAAACACAGGCAGCTGAGCACAGCTTTGCATGTTGTCTCAACCGACTGATGGCTCGTGAAGCATGCATTTTTAAGCTGTTCTGCAGAAATGTTCTTTTCTTGTTAGTACCTTTACACTACACCACGTTTGTTTGTTTAATACACCCTCATGTTTGGCTTTCTGGGAGTTCACGGTGGATCTAATGGACTTCTTACATTTTTTTAACGGGGCCATCCTCATTATAAATGTGAAAGTTTAAATTTCTTTGGCTTTCCCTGTTAAAGCCCCATTCGTTTTTCTTGTGAAACAGTAGAGCTTTACATCAACTGGTGAACAGCATTCCTGGCTGAGACAGGGTTGGACAGTTGGAATCTAAGGAATGGAATTTTCTTGCAAACAAGAAAGAGGAATTAGCTTACTTTAAAACTGGCTAAGAAAAAAAAAGCCATGGGAAGTAGTTGTTGGGTTTTTTGCTTGTTTTGGTGTGTTGGTTTTTTTGTTTGTGTGTTTGTTTGTTTTGTTTTCCCAACTCTTTATATTCCACTTGCACAGCCCTGTTGAGCAAAAGGTTCCCTCCAATAACTGAGCCTTACTTTTTTTTACTTTTTTTTTTTAAATCTTACCACCTCTGCAATGGGTTTGTGACACATTTAAGCACTTCCTAGGCCTTATGTACAGTATATTTGATTTTAATTCTCATAAAATACACTTGTGCTGCCGTATACAATGGTTCTCTGTATTATAGGTCAAGATCATTATTTTTCTCACATAGCCAACCTTATCACTATCAGGGAGATCATATTTCTTTAGAAATTACTTGCTCAAAGCTAGAAATTGCTTGTTCCTGCTTGAGGTTGTTTGGCCTTCTGTGCTAAAATACCTGTCTGTGATTTGCCTTCCCTAAGGCAACAGAATTCACACCCACAGGAGAGTTGGGATGAGTGGAGGCTGCACACACACCTTGGCCTCTCGGGGCACTGATACCTGGTGTGCTGGAGCTCAGACCTCAGCAGTTCCCTTGTGGCCTCTCTGCAAGTCTTCTTTTATGGTAATGCCACTTGCGTGGACTAGAAGCCCTCCCTCACCGAAGGGGAAGCACATCCACCAGCTCTGCAGAAGGTTGAGTTTCTCCAGAAGAGCACAGCATGAGCAGAACAAAAAGCCAGAGTGTTGCTCTCTAAAATTATAAATTCCACCTTGTTTGTGGTGATTTACATTTGTGTAAGACACCTTGAACCCATGTCAGCTTCTTTTTTTTCCTGCTTTCCTACTTGCAAGGCCTGGCTGAAGTAAAGGCAGCTCAGGCTCGGAGCTGTGTTGCAACTGCTTAGCTCAAGTTTGCAGAGCAGAAACCTCAGCATTCGATATACTCAATAAATACCCAGTCGGTAATTTTAGAGATCACAGAAAGTAAGAAGAAATTCCTCACTGTTATTGACCTATGCCTTATTGCACATCCTTATCTCGAAGAGTTTTACGTGTGCAGACACAGGTTTGTTCTCCTTGAACCTCATGTTGTGGTTCCAAACCCACAGAAATGTTGCCACACATGGCCAATTTCATCAGGAAGGTGATAATGGTCATCTTTGTCATGGGAAGACTTGGTCATCACCACTGGTTTATAGCGAGCCAACACCCGTGGTGTATTTGTCTACCCACAGCTCTTAGCCAAATGGCTTTTGTTGAGGGATGATATCGTCTTGTTCACTCTTGTTCTAGGAGAGTAGTATGGCCAATTTTGGAGAAGTGACTCAAGGTTTTTATTTCCCCTCTTATTGCCACTCATGGTTCACCATCAACTTCCCAACCCATCTACCCTCAGCTAGCATGGATGTCTCTAGCATAGTAGCCCTCCAGAACGCAGCCTGCCCATTCAGATGACATAGTTGAAGGACAGATGAAAAGAACCAGCCAACACAGACAAATCTCAGTCAGAAAAAGTTGTGTGTCTTTCATGAGGATGCTGTTTTGCATGTTGCTGTATTTTTTAATTATTGTAATGAGGTGTGATTGTCTATTGGTTACCCACAATACTTCTTGGGGACTCTCCCCCGGTAACTCTTGTCAACACTTGTTAATCTGACAAAAGGCTACAAATTAAGCTCTGTTAATTTAATGTTTTCTCACCGAGATCTAAATACCGAAAGAGGCCCAAAGCGCAACTGAAGTCCTTTGATTCACTGTACTTTATTTTGGTATAAATTTACATTCATTATTGTTTTCCTTTGGATGTGTAGCCCTCAATTAGTGTGATGGCTCCATTAAAGCAAGCGAGACTTCGCCTTTAATTATTACAACAAAACACCTAGTTTCAGCTTGGGGAGAGGGTCTCTATTGACATAAGCAGAGGTTATAAAATTTAATTAGCCATTCCTATCAGATTTATGGCATTCAAATTGTTCTGTGTTTCTTTCCTTTGATCCTTGCTGTACAATCCCCAAGATTTTTGTTCTGATCAAATGAGAATAAAGCTTACTGCGCAGAGAGAAGTTTTTTGTTGTTTTTTTTTTTTTTTTTTTAAACCCTTTTTTCTTTCTCTCATTCTCTCTTTCCCTTCTTTTTGCCAGGCAAGGTCAGCCAGTGTACCCAATCACGACAGGGGGTTTCCGCCACCCTTACCCAACAGCTCTGACTGTCAATGCTTCCATGTCAAGGTGAGTTCAAATACTGAGGTCCTGAGTTGAGAGCAAGCGTAACTCCTCCTGCTGTCTTCTCTAGAGGAGGGCATTTCGTCTAGGAAACATATTCCTGAAAGCACATCCGTTAAACTTTTGTTTTTTGGAAGGATGGAGGAGGAGAGCATGAGCAGCATCTTCAAATTTCATGAGAATAGGATGTCTTAGTGCTCTCATTGGGCTTTAAGAATTTGTTCTGAGAGAGAGATGGAGTAGTGGAAAGCCGTGTTTAAATAAAAAAGCTGAGAAAAAGTGATTTTTAAAAAGCAAGGAGGAGAAGTCGTGACACCTTTTGCTTTCTCAGTGGCTATCACCCAGAGCAGCAGCCTGTGTGCAAGAGGAGAGACTGGGGAGTGGGGGGCTGCTCTGCAAGCAGGGTTAGGAGGAAGGTTATTGTGCTGTGTTTTCCCTACCAAATCTCCAAACACTGACAGTCAACATAAAAGGGCCTGCCTGACCCTCTAAAGCTTCAGAAGTATATGTTTCTCCCCCTCCCTACCTCCAATTAATTCCATCTAATTTTCCAGGGGCTGCTAGTTTTATTTACAAACTGGTTGGCAGCACTATGTTTAAGTAATCACTAATTGCTCCTAATGATAGTTTTATTTTCTGTTCATCTGATTTTCAGTCTGGTTAATTAAATCGGTGGAGGTTTAGACTTTCCTGATGGGCTGAAACAGCTAATCCATTTTGATGATGGCACATAATTAAATTAGCATGAATTACATAGCAAGGTTCCATGTCCCTTCCCTTCTCTGTCCCTTCCTCTCCATCTCTGCAGTCTAATATGTGAAGGTTGGCATATAGAGGATTTAAGGAGGAAAAGGGATGAGGGAAAAAAGCACACCTTCTTAAGCAATGGAAACCTGTAAGTAGAGCTCTGAGTGAACGAAGGGGGGGAAGTACTGTGCTGTGTGCTTTAGATACATAGAGTAAAAGCAGAAATTCAAATCTGCTCACACTGCTCCAGCAAGTACAGAAAGACAACTGGAAAAACCAACTTAAAAAAAAATAAAATTAAATTAGTGGACCCAGAGGAGGGGAGAAAAAAATCCTGTGTTGGAAAGAGAGCTGCAAATTTAAACAATAATTCCTTCACTCTGTTTAATCTTTTTTAATATCTATAAAAGACTTGCAGGCATGGTGTGAGGCAAAGTAGAGCTTGATTTAGTTTAATTATTATTAGAGAGGCTAGTCATTTGGGGGAGGGGGAGCTGTGGGAGGGGGCAGGCTATATTCCCAAGATAGGCTTTATGAAAGGTATCTAGTTAAAAAGAGTACACAGCAAATTAAATACATTATTGTGGTAATGGGACGACAGAAGTAGAGGTCTATTATACTTATGGCAGTTATAGGAAATGTAGGCTCCTTGCCCTGTTCTAGCACATCCTTTGATATTCATTCCATTCAGCAGCAGGGCCAGGACTTCTCAGAATTAAGTGATGGGTCATTATACTTTAAACACCATGGAGAAGCCTAGATTGGCAATTAAACAGCACTTGCTGACACTCGCTTGTGCCACCCTGTGACCCCCTTTAGATTGAGTTGTTGGAGCTCGGGGCCCTCAGCCTGCTAAATTGGTAGCAGGCACTTCTCCTGACGAGGGCTGGCTCTGAAATCTGCCGGCTTCAAAGGGAGCAAGATCATGTATAAACCATAATGTGGGTGCACCGTGGCTCAAAAAATAAGGCAGGAATAGATGAAATGTTACAAGTGCAAGGGGAAAATGAGAGAATAATGACAAATCTAATGCAACTCAAAGCAGAATTGTTGCACAGAAAAATGCATCCCACTGCTTGTGCATAAAATCAAGGCAGGCAGATGACATCCAGTTAACAGAAACATGTCAACAGTGAAGTAAAGTGAGAGTGAGTAAGAGAGAAGCCCCTGAGACAGCCAGGAACAAAAAATTAGTTGTCCTTAACAAGTTAAGACTCATCATTATATTCTGGCTTGGAGCCATAAAAGGAGACGGTGGTGTATAATGAGCTGCTTAGAATTTTTAGGGTGTTTATTGCAATTCATGGAATACTTGTCTAGAGAAAAAAATACGGGGGGATGTCTTAGGCAAAGGTGAGGGGTGTGTGTATGCACACAGCCTTTCTTTTTGTCTCTTGACATGTGCCCATACGCACACAGATGCTCAGGCACACACACACAGGATGATGAATAGATTTAAGATGTTTATCCTTTGTTTCAGCCCAGAAACTTCTCTCTTGGTTTCCCCTCGATGGGAACACCCTCTGGGCATACCATGCTCTCATACACGTTTCTTCACGCCTGCCGTATCAGCTGGAGCACCTGTGCTGGGCAGTGGGACAGCCCTTACCCTTAGTCACCGGCTTGGCCAAGCAATGGGGCTGGTGTGCCCCAGCCTGCTCGTGCCTACCTACAGACCTGCCCTTTGGGCAGAGCCTCAGTGTGTGATGAGAGGGCAGACCCCAGCCTCACCACCCTATTCTCAGAGACCTTATCCATGGTTTTCCCGAGCCTTTCTTTCAAAGGGATTCCCTCATTTGCCTGTTATGATGTAGACCTTTGGAGCATATAATGCTTCCTAGCCTAGAATATTCCCAAAGCTAAGTAATTACAGTTCATTAGTTAGCGTGCTTATGAATAGTTTATAAAAGGTTAATGGGTGACTAATAGTGATTTTAATAAATGATTTAAACTATTAAGGTAGTGTCTTCAGGTTGTTTTAACTGCTTACAACTCTTTTCTCCTCTTGTAACAACATCCCACTCACTTCTTATGCGTTCAACATACTTATAACATCTTCTGATCCTTCATTACCCCTCTAAAATATACCCACAATGCAAAATGAGGCAGGGTTAACTGACTGATGGGCAAACAGTGGACCTATTGTGAAAAAACAACTGATGTGGGGGGAAATCAGGAAATAATTGAACAGAATTATTCCAGGCAAACGCTGCACAGCAGTTAAGTGGTGGCAGTGGAAAATACCTGTTGTAATTGAAATTTCAGAGGAAACTCACTTTTGCTGAATGCAATTACTGAAGTTGGAGTGCAGCCAGGAACTTAAAAATTAATGCTTTGCCCCTTTCTTATTGCTGTGTGACTGGATGTCTACATGGAAATCAGTAGGCACTTGGGCTTTGAGTCTAATTCCCTGCTTACTAGAGTCCAAGGGATGGTGTGATTCATTTTGGGTTTTGGAGCACATCTGTAAAGCCCATACATTGAAAGGAGTGTCCAGGTCCAACAGAAAGTGTTGTGTCAAGACAGAAGCATTTTCAGTGTGCAATAATAAATGGTCACTGGCAATGAACACAAAACTTCCTTTGGAAAAACTGCTATCCCAAAATGACTGCTGAGCTCTAGCTGCCTGCTGAGGAAGGTGGCCGTGTCTGAAGGGTAGAGTTCACTGGATGGGTTCTCAGCCTAGCAGAAGTCAGGGGAGGTTTCACCATTTTGTTCCACACAACTTGTGTGCGTAGGAGACTCCCCCTCTGCTGCCCTTCCTCCCCAGCTAGTCAATCTTCCAGCAGGCACTCTTTTTTCTAAATGGCAAGTGGGAAAGCATTTCTCCCATAATTTGTGGAAAAGTTACAGTTTAAGCAGATTTTCTTCACTCTCCTCAATTTTTGATTAGCTGGAGATACCTAAGTCTTCATTAAAAATAAACTGATAGAATAATCTCCTCTATTTTATTGAATTTCCTTCCTTTGAACATCCTGATGATACAACAACCCAACATGTAGGCAGTGTTCATTTTTCAATGTTTTTTGATTTTTGATCAGATCCATGTTAACTCCTCTTGTAATCAGCCTTTTGTGACACTTCGTAGCCCTTCCACAGCAGTGAGTCTGACCCTGTTGAGGCCCGCTCTCATACCCTTCTGTCCTTGTGCTATATCACTGAGAGCAGAAGAAAGCAATATAAAGGTCCACTTTTTGTCTTGGTGATGGTGGGGCAGTGCCATGGCAGAAGACCTGTCCACTGGTCTCTTTGCAGGCTCACCTTTCCCTTCTGTTATAACCTGCCATGCACCAATGCATTTCTGCAGACTTTCACTTCTCCCTCAGCTAATTCTTTCAAGGAGCAGTGAAAGCACTGTGACAGTCCATTTGGAGATTTGTGTCCATGTGTCTTGAGCAAAAGTAGAAACAGAAAGAATGACCATTTTGCTAGCATTCTCTTCCTCCATTGCCATCACGCTCTTCTCTTTCCTTTTCTCCACGTCTTTGTTTGTAGGAGCTGCAATTCTCTGTAGTCTGAACAGTTTCACTTTCTCCCTGTCAGACCCAGCTCTTCCCACCACTGCCTTCAAAGATAAAATTCTTCTGTCTAACGATCTTGAGTACTACCAGCTGGTAGACAAAGATGCACAGAGCTCACAGCAGACAATACCTCTTGTTTATGAAAGTACTTCTGTGTCATCTTCTGAATATAGAGAATGTCTAGGCAAGTTTTTGGATTTTAAGTTCAGTAATGGAATTTCTAAGAGAGGAGAAAATATAAAGAAAACCCAATGTATTTCTGATAATAGTACACAGTCTGTTTAATCATAGTATATCAACTTCATTTTAAACCCTGTTAACTAAGAAAAAATCATATGTCAGTGATGGACGAAATAATTATTTGTGCCCTTGAACATTCCATATTCTCAGGGTACTTTATTTGGACCAAGACAGGTCAAAATCTGAGATAAGTCTAGGAGCTTACAATGAAAAGGAGCTTCCAGTTTGCCAGATCCGTTAAGCTATGAAATTTTTGTGGGAAGATATTTTTAAGTCAGAATTTTAGGCTAGATTCCATCCCCTAGAGGCCCGTTGACTTCAGTGGGTGTTTTCTATGGCAGTAGCTCAGATGTATTGTGCTTTCCTTATTCACTACAAAGCCTTTTTGAGATAACTAAGGAATAATAACTTAGTAATGTTTTTGAAAAATTTGTTAATTTCAGTTAAAAATTAGAAAATACGAATAATAGTTGTATGTTTGTGCTGTGGCCTCATTCTAGCAATTAGATTTGTGCAGAAGGGTTGCACATCCCTCTGCATCCAATTGCAGGACTGGGACCTATCCATGTATTTGACCATAAAGCTGGCAATATTTTTTCTCTTTAGAGAGGCTGTTATTTTACTTGAATTTAAGCCTTACCGGGTTACCTTTATATATCAAAATTGACTTAATTCTACAGTCTTCCAGCCTCTCTTATAGCAGTGTGTCTCAAAGATTTATAAGACACAAATAAATATTTTCTTTTGCTCCATCAACAAAATGTACCTAATGAGGCTTCTATAAGGATTATCAAAAATGCATCTAGATTGTGTTGGCATTAATATTTTATTTTGCTGTCAATATGCAACAAAAGATGTCATCCCAAATTCACAACATGATTCAGTACTACAAAAATTGATTCCTTAGTTGCCACAGATAATTTCTTAGTAAAGAAATGGACTGGTGGATTTTTTTGCAGGTAGCTGAAATTCCACTTTCATCCAAGTTCATCCAGTTGAATTTGCCTTTTGTTAAAGATGTTAAAAATCATGATGTCTCATGTCAGTAATGATAATGAAGGGGAAGCTTGGCTTTAATGACATTAGAAGAGTCATTATGTTTAATTTATTGCTAATTAATGCTGCCAGCTTTCATATGCTTTGTCTAGCTGTCATGTGCTTGTTATATGCCTTTTTTTTTTTTTTTTTTAATGTGTGTACACATCCCTCCCCATTCATTCATTTTTATTCTGACGATTTACACAGCTTTCTCTCCTCTAGGTTTCCTCCACACATGGTCCCGCCACACCATAGTTTACATACAACTGGAATCCCTCATCCGGCCATAGTCACACCAACAGTCAAACAAGAATCTTCCCAGAGTGACGTCGGCTCACTCCACAGCTCGTAAGTTTTTTCCTTCATTGCGTTGTTTTTATCACCCACAAAGTATCACCTTTGCATGTGTAGCTTTAGAAACCCCTGAGTTTGTGGGAATGTTTTTGCTGTAAAATATTCTTAAATCGCTTTTTCTCTTTTTGTTTTGTCTGCCTGAGTTGGATGGAGTTTAATTAACAAAGTACATGAAAATAATGCTAGCAGTCTTTCAGACTGCTTCTGAGACATAGACAATTAGGTATTAATTTCTCCCCATTTTAACAAGAAAATGGATTTTTTTAAATTAATAATTAAGCTTTTTGACAGTTTTCCTGTCTTTGAAGCCATAAGATACCAGATACACAACAGGAGAAGATAAATTTGATCATGAACAACTTGCAGATAGGTGCAGAGAGAGCTGATATCAGGTTTAGGTTTGCACCAAGAGAGTAGTACCCTATCTCTGCCCCTTGCATGTCTGAAGCTTCTTGCCTTTCATTTCATTAGTGTACCAAAGAGACAGCATTTCAGTTCCCAGTGACATTGGGATGTAATTATTTCCTCTACCATCATGCTCACAAGCCCTCCCCAAGATCTAAGAACCCATTTTCTGGGCCTGAATGTCCACGTCTTTCTGAGGTTATTCTAGGGGCTTAGGATGTACTTGGTGATATTACATAAACATAAGAGAGGTTTTTTTTATAATGCTGTTAAAACTGTTCTAATGCAGCAGCCAGGGCAAGGACTCTAGAGAACCTTCTGTTCCTCTTTCTAGAGACTAATTTCTGAGGATTAATGTTAAGGGATTGAGGGGATTAATTTAATAAATTCACAAGAGTTCTCACTGTGAGGTTTTTGTCTGTTGTATCTTTACCCTTCAGAAAACATCAGGACTCCAAAAAAGAAGAAGAGAAAAAGAAGCCACACATAAAGAAACCTCTTAATGCATTTATGTTGTATATGAAGGAAATGAGAGCAAAAGTTGTAGCAGAATGCACATTGAAAGAGAGCGCAGCCATCAACCAAATCCTTGGTCGAAGGGTAGGTGACAGGAGAGAACCACAAGCAGGGTCTGACCTCGGTCAGACTGCTTGCTGAGAGAAGGAGTTGTGTCCTGAATCAGTGTGTTTTCCTCTGGTTTTCATACTGGATAGGGAAGTATTCTGTGTTCGTATAATTCAACTAAACCAAAGGCCTTATGGTTTTTTTGTTTGGTTTGATTTGGGTTTTTTTTTGCAGACAATTCTGCTGGTGGGGTCACACATGTGGGGAGAGTTAATTAACAGCAGTATTATTTCAGTGTTATTTCTTTGACCAGCATGTGGAAAAATCTCAGATTTCTTATTTTGTCTTAGAAATGGTCAGGAAAATAAGTGGGGAAGGAGGAGGCCTTTGGGAACTGTGGTCCAACTATTGGGATCTGGAAGAGAAGAGGAGATACTGATGGTGGTGGGAGGGGGAGAACTTCTGTAAATCTGTGGCTGAGATCTAACACAGAAGATGTGATTCAGCTTCTGGATCCTCTCCTCTGTTTTTTTTTTTAGTTTTGTTGTTTAGTTTTCTTAATTATCTCTCATCAGGAAAATGAAGGGGGTCAATAAACATAAACGATTAGTTTTGACTCGGCTGAGTTAGCTGGAGTTACAATCTGGCATTATAAATAAAATACGAACGTCTGTGTGCCAGATCATCTGTTTTTACCAAGTTTTTTTATGAAAATCATATTTAGCTGTGTTTATATATAAATAATCTACTCTGCTGTTAACACGCTTTAAAAAAACACCCGTGTTTTCTCTTTTTTCTCTTTCTTTCACTTCAGTGGCATGCGTTATCCAGAGAAGAACAAGCGAAATACTATGAACTAGCAAGAAAGGAACGACAGCTTCATATGCAGCTGTACCCGGGCTGGTCTGCACGGGATAACTATGTAGGTTCCTATGTAGGTGGAAATTTTTTTAGTAGTAGAGCTTGTAGAAATGTATGTGTGACCTGCTGAACTACGACCACACATTGCACACAAGCACTACTTGGAAAGCGTGCCTCAGGATCCCAATCTGGTAACAACAACGGACGCTTCCCTCTGCGATACTAAAACTATTGGGGATAATTCACAGCCCTCCACTTGGAAGAGGCTTCCTGGCTGGGACTAGTAAAAGGTTAGAATTGGGGTATGGCAGTAGAGATCTGTGAAGAAACTCTTGCCTTCACTTTTACTAGCATCTGGAGATGCTATTGGCTTGCAGTTCTTTTTAAATTTTATTTTATATATGTATATATATATAAAACATTAAATTCCCCTAGTATGGCTCCTCTCCTTTCCACCAAAATTATGAATAATTAGTGTCTTGTGCTTATCTGTGTGAGTGTATAGTGGAAAGTGGAAGAATGACTTATCCTAGCTTCAGAGAAGGACTGGCAAAACCAAAAGCGTGACTTGTTTGAAAGTCTTACTCTCAAGTGGGGTTAAATGAATTATTCCACGCTCTACTGTTGTGTATTTCGATTATGCTCTGCTTTTTCATGGCCATGCTATTATTTTTTCCCCTCATCATTTTTTGAAGAGTATTTTGGAGTTTGTTATCAATTCATGGAGTGTTTTTAAGATTGATTCCCCCCCCCCTCCGCCTTTCAGAAAGCCTGTTTGTAGCTAAAAGCAATAGAATTTTGTGTTAAAAATGTAAGCTCAGTGTTGTAACTACTTACTACTAGTATGTAGCCCCTTCTTCCATGAAGAGTAAGTGATGCATCTGGTAGTAAGTGCTTACAAGCCTAAATTCAAAAATTCTTGGCAGATTTGTAGATTGGTGGGAGCTCTAAACCGTCATCGGTAGGATTATAACAGCATCTTGATTATTAAAATTAAAATATAAACCACCTAAAACTTTCAAGTATCTGGTTTTAAAATAAACCTTACTCCCTACCTTCCAGGTAGACGTCCATGCAAGTTTGGGGATTAGTACGTGTAGAATTAATGTTAGTTATGTGTATTGTTACATGCTTTGTTTTCATTGATGTCTGTCTCTGCCATCATTGCCACCATCACTGCCCAGTTTGCCATTAATACACTGTTTTGCCTCAGTTGTGTAACGTGTGTGCTTTGTGTATGGCAATGTTTACCTCTTAGAGCATTTGTGCTTGCACATGTATGGATGAAAAAATGAGGCTGCAGTCTGCAGCACAGCCCAGAGCAGCAGCAGCTCTCTACACTTTCCACTGTTTCAGCAGTAGAGAGTACACATGCTCACTTATTTAGCTATTTAACTTATTTACTTAAGGACAGTTTTTGAAATCCTCCTATTGTTTCTTGATCATCTTTTCTTTCTGTTGAATTCTCTTCACTCCTTCCATTGTTCGTTGCTGAAGGTGTAGCCATGTGGGCTCCTCCGAGGCAGAGGAAATCTCTTTAAGCTGCATGAGGCACTGCTCCTGTTAACGACATTCTCCCTTTCTTTTCAGCATAGTCTGGCCTGTCAGGCTGTAGTCTTGAGGTAGTTCCTCAGCACTGCACAGTATTGTCATCTTGGGTGTTCAAAAGCGAGTGCAGGCTCAACTTGAGGCTTCAGGAATGCTCGCTCTGTGCAGTGACTGTGCCACCAATGGATGGGCACGTACAAAGCCTTCAGCATTTAGGACCTTTACTTTTGTCCTCACTGTGTGAGCACAGAGGAACCCTTTCTTCTTGAGCTAAAAAGGACAGGATGAGAAAGCCGTCGGTTTCCCAGCGGCTTGATGCTGTACCCCCAAGTGACCTTCAGGGGGAACCTTCCTGCCTGAGGAGAGCACAGGAAGCTTTGCATCACACAACTGAATCATTGGCAAGATTTATTTATTTTTCCTTTCTTAAGGTCTCAGGTCCTTCCCTCATCTAGAGCAGGAGCATGTTTGGGATGCTTGAGACAGTTAAATCATTAGGCATTTTCACGTCAGGCACAAGGATGGGGCCAGATGTAGCCACAGTCTTCAGAAACAGAAGCAGTACGTGCAAGAATCACAGCTTTCAGCTGCTCTTAAATAAGAGAAGAGGATTCAGTGAATCCCCTGTGGCTTGCTGGTGTCACAAGACACATTTACTCTTCCTGCTATCTAATATAAGATGTTAAGTGGTGCTGAGTGTTGGACTCAGAAATATGTAAGGGTCTAGTCACCTCGCCTGCTGGTTGTCTAGAAAATTAGTACCAAAGAACTCTGCAGTCCTGTCAAAACCTATGCTGGTTTTGCTCCGTGGAGAGAGCTGCCAAAGTGTTTAGCAAGTATGTACATCCACATGACCTTGAAGCCTTGGGATTTGTATAGGATGATGATAAAAATGTTGCAGACTGTCTCTTCCTGTCTTAGGATGACAATCTGAGGCAAAGACAAAACTGTCTTCTGCTGAGTACTTGAAGAACCATTGACATAGTTATTTCCTTACGTCCATATAGTAAATGTAGCTACACATTATCTTCTGCAGAAGTTGAATGAGTAATCAAGATAGATTTTTCCCCATAACATTTGCAAAGAACAAAAAAGAAGTTAGTGGGACCCTTTTCAGTTCTTAGAAAAATTTTCAAGGCTTGTGTTGAAAAGGAACCAGAAATTCCATGGCTGATGTTTCAGTATATCGGTCATTTTTAATAGATTGCTCCCCAGAGAGGTTATAATACTTTAATACCTGGCTTGAAGAGTTTGTAAGGGGCTGATGACTCCTGACCTTTGTTCTGGCTGACCATCAAGTGAAAAAGCGGTGAGGTCTCAAGTTGGAATAGCTTTTCAGTTCTCAAATGCATTGAAAAATTAATCAAGTTGGCCAGATTAAATAAAAATCAGGCCTATGGTCCTTAGGCAATTGGCTGGTTTCAGTTACATTGTAAAGCTGGGGAAAATTCACTGGCTTTCACAGAGTTACTGTCAAATGAGATCAATACAGATGGAGCAGTCTGAGCCTTTTGTATTTCTGTGTTGTATGTGGACTTAGGGGTACCGTGTTTTCCCTGTTATATTCTCAGGGAGTTTTAGGAGCAGTGCTTGTCTGTCTTGTCTTCTCATCATGTTAGACAAATGGGTGCTGTGGCAACTGACTCAGGGTGACAATTTTCCATATCCCCCCAGATGACCCCAGAAGGTGTCTGAGATGTTTACTCGGCAGCATTCAGACTGTAGGATTACGTGCACATCACTTAAAAGCCCTTTAAAATTGACTGCACGCTGCTTCTTCCATCACAGGAAGATTTCCTAGAACAAGACTGTGCTTGTGACAGCCTGGACAGCAGGGTGGCAGTTTACAAGCAAGGGGGAACGAGTACAGAACCCTATGCCAGACAGCTGGCTGCTGGGGAGGAGGAACACCACACCAACAGATCAAAATCTTACATTCACACTGGGGGAATTTCTTGCTGATACATTCCAGGGAATGCATGATAGTGAGCATGCCAAATGTTACAGTGGATGTGCCAAGCTGAAGCCAATCCTAACCATGTAGCTGGGAACCAAACCAAACTACTGAGAAAGAGCAGTCTTCCATGTGGGAGAAGCTCTTGGCCCCCTCACAGATACGTCCAGTCCTTCAAAAGTACTGTGAGATTCCTTCTTCCAAGCCATGTTTGTTCCCTCTTGACCACAAGGCACTGCTGGTCTGATCTCTTTTCACCAACTTCTCTTACTCTACCACAGCCTTCAAAAGCAGGGATCTCTGCGCTGGTCACAGTTGATGTTGCAAACCCAGAAGTCATTGCTTTTCATATCTGCTGAGTTATGAAAACAACAAAAAATCAAACTCTTGTCATTTTGCAGTGGCCTTTTTGTGCTGCTCTGCAGACTGTAGCTCAGTGTTAGAAGAGTTTTCAATGAAAACAGCTTTTCTCTTTTGGGCCATTCTTATCACTTTGTAACTCAGATGATGATTGTTGGGTTTCCACAGAACTTGAGCTGGTTCTCTTGACTGTGTCCTCTCCCTCTCTGCTAATGGCAAACAGAACCAGCCAGCTCCTGCTTCCCGGGCTCTTTTGTTCCTTTTCTCCTTTCAGCCAGAAACAGTGACAAATCATATCATCTTACTGGGCAGTGCTTGGGAAAGAGACACAGTTTGGCAAAATATTGCTGATTTTCTGTGTGACTGAGCAAAATGAGTCTTAGTTGTATCTGGATTTTTGCTTTTCTTGGCTTTGTTTCCTAGGTTGTGAGTGCACTTAGAAACCTGCAGCTTAGGTTTTGCTCATCATCACGGCTTTCTTGTGTGGTCTAGCGTTCCATGCTCACGTGTTTCCCTTCATTCTCTGCCGTTCCCCTTTCTTCGTTTTCCCCATCCCACAAAAACGAGGCCACTTCTGAAACTTCCAGGTGGAGGTGTGTGTGTGTGTGTTGCAAATGTTTGTCATCACCGTGATCCCATCCAAAAAACAGCATCTCTCCAGGCTTAGGGGGGTGGGTGGCAGCCCTGGGGAAGCCACGGGGAGCCTCTCAGCTTCTCTGGGACAGGGTGAGCAAGCACAGCACTGCTGTCCCCCAGCACAGACAGGTTCCCTCCCTACTGCCGTGCCATCTTACAAGGAGCTGTGTTTTGATTTGATTTTAACCCTTCTCATTTGTGTGTGTGTCACACAGGGAAAGAAGAAGAAGAGGAAAAGGGATAAGCAGCCAGGAGAGACCAATGGTAAGTAAAAATCAGCCTAAATATCTCACCTAGTGGAAGTGTGGCAGTCCTGGTGTCACGCTTGTAGGTAGGGGGGAGGTGGGTTCGAGTGTCCCAGCCTGACAGGGGAGCCAGTCCCAATAGTAGATAGCCTTTTTTTAAATGCACCCTAATTATTTACGCGTTATTGCCCTTCTAAAACTAGTAACCAAGCCATTGCATGTAAGAGCCTCTTGTGACGTTAGCTGAATTTATTCCTAGTAATTGCAAAGCCTTTAACTGCAGTTCCATAGTTGTAATGCCTATGCCGTTGTTCATAAAGTTGTCTGCTCATTTTACGCATATGTGTGCGTGTTCGTACGTATGTGTTTGGTATTAATTTGGGCTGTACCTGTGTGTTCTGATGCATGCCTTACAGTGGTAAATCGCACCCATTTTAAATTAAGGAGGTTTGCCATTCTATATAGGAAATTAGAAATACTGCATAGGCAATCTCATAGTCAATTTTGAAGAAGCCCTGACTTAATTTTTTTGAAGCCTTTGTATAATTTGTTCTTTTTTTTCAGAACACAGCGAATGTTTCCTAAATCCTTGCCTTTCACTTCCTCCGATTACAGGTGCTAACGTCATTTTGAGTCATTTAAAATAGTTTATAAACTGCTTTTTAATTTTTTTCCTGCCATTATAGACTTTAACATTAAACACTTATGACATTAAGAAAAAAATACCATCCACACGTTTTTATAGTATTTATTATCTATATATCTTTATATCTATTATATGTTTGATAGTATTTTTTTTTAATTTTGCTTTTGTCTTTTTTTTTTTTTTTGTAACAATTGCTATTAAACCGTAATGCAGTAAAAATAACGCAAGAGTTGTACTAACTGTGCAAATTGAATATGCAGTATTTCTTTAAAGAGACTGATAAAGAATGGAAGCAAGTCAGCAATGAACCTCCTTAATCTAATGGCATTTTTCATGGCTCCCACTAAGTCTTCTCACATTAGCATGCAAGCGCATTTTTTTTTATTATTATTTTAGTTTTGGATTTTATTTTATTTTATTTTTTGCCTTTCTCCTCAAGCCTACTCATTGCAATTCACTAGCTGTACTAACTCAGCACCTTGCCATGCTTTACGTTTTATTTTCTGGCTGATACTAACATGCTCATTCCGCAATCTGCTTATTCTCATCCATTCTTTTAAGTACAAATTAATCAAAACAAATAAATTGAATGTTATTCCAAAAGCTGCATTATCCCAGGAGATATAATTTCCTTAATTTCCTTTTTTTATTTTCTTTTTTTTTTTCCTCTTATTTTTATTTTGTATCTGAGTTGAAGAAAAAAGCATGTTCAGGATCTAACTTCCATACTCAGCTTCTTTTCTTCCTTTTTTTCCCGCCTCAAAAAAAGAAAAAAAGAAAAAAAGAAAAAAAAAAAGAGAATAAAAAAACCCAACCCACACAAATCTTGCCTAAAACATCCTGCTAGACCAGCCACGATGACTTTCCTCTACCTGCTCTTTTAAAAGGGAAAGAAACAGTCCTTTATAAAGGGATACTGCAGCTTTAATTGCAACAGCTAATTTCAAGAGTTGAATAAAAATGTGATTATCACTTTTTTAACTTTTAAATTGAAAGTCATTATTTTGCAATTAATAATGAGGACATTGATTTTTATTCCCTTTTTTATTTTTATTTTTTCCTTATTTTTATCTTTCTCTTTTTTCTCCCCTTTTCTCTACTCCTCCCTCTCTCTCTCTCTCTCTCTCTCTCTCTCTCTCTCTCCCCCTCTCCCCTTTCTTTTTCCTCTCCCCCTTTCCTGCTCGCTTTTCTTGAACTCATTCAGACCTGAGCGCTCCTAAGAAATGCCGAGCGCGCTTTGGCCTTGATCAACAGAATAACTGGTGCGGCCCCTGCAGGTGTGTATAGTTTTCCCAGACTCGCTATGGCTGATTTGCAGCTGGTTTATTTGGTACTTTCCCCTTTTTTTCCTGCCTTGTTGCTTTGTAGCTCTGTGTTGTGATCTAGAAGACACAAGGGAGTGGGACACTGCCATGAGTTATCGTCTCTCTGAAAGGGTTTTGCTTTTTTTTTTTTTTTTTTTTTTTTTCCAGTTTTTATTTTTTTTTTTTATTTTCCTTCCTCTTTGCTGCTGCTAGCCAAAAACCCACTGTAAAACAGCATCAGCCTTAAGCCTCTCTGATCCCTGGCTCAAACACAGCCCTTTCCTCCCGGCCTCCGCTCCAGGACAGTCACGTTGTGGGCTCCCTCAGCCTGCACTCTCATGGTGCTGAGCGCGGTGCCGATGCCGGACGGACGCACGGCGGTGTCGGAGATTTTTGGTTTTGTTTTGGCTCGTTGTAAAAGTCCTGTTTCTTTCGTGCCCTTGATGTCAGGGGAGATTACCAAATAAAGCGGAGGTGATTGAAAGCTAAACGTAGCTGTAGCTAAGATTAAGCAGTCCAAATGAGCTCTATCCACCATTGTGTTGTATTTTTTGTGTTTACCTTATGCTAACAGATGCAAATACTCCAAAGAAGTGTCGGGCATTGTTCGGGCTTGACCGACAGAGTTTATGGTGCAAACCATGCAGGTATAATACTACCCATTAGGCCTCTGGGGAAATAAAAGCAATCTGTCCTCTTAGTGCATTCGTGTGATTTTGTTTTTTTAATCTTTTTTCCCCACTCCCCACCTTTCTCTCTCCCACAGCATCAATTGCTAATAATCTTTGATCTTTGGAATTTCTTGCTAATTTAATGCCATTTTTCTCTCTTTCTTTACCAATAACCTTTCCCTGGTGGTAGAACTGGGAACAAGAACGCTTGAAGTGCTTGAAGCTGGCAGTTGTTTTTTTTGTTTCTTTCCAGATTGTCAGCAAAAAAAGAATGTTTAGCTGGACATCTGTATTTTGTCTTTCATTGGGTCTGTGTCCAGTGCCTCCAAAGGCTTAAAACGTTTTGGGATCTGCAGCAGTAGTGCTTTTCAAATGATGATAGATATAAAAGCCAGTGTTTACAGCTTATATCGTGCTCACTTTTTTTGGTGTTATATGCAGAATTAAATTGCTGCCTGTGGGCTCCTGTGCCTCCGTGAGTTTTATGTAGAAATCATTTTTAAACGATCTGATGTCTTTTTTTTTTTCCTGATTCTGAAAAGACATTTTTTTTCTAAATTTTATCCCAACATATGAGCTGTAAACTCATGAGCTCTAGACAAAACTAATTCCAACTTTAGTAGGACAGTTTCCAGCATTCAAAGGAGGTGAAAGACACCAGAGAGCCCAAATTTCGACAGCCCATGTTCTACTGGAGTTTAATTCCATGTATGACTCAGTATGTACGTCTTTCTTGGTGGAGGGATACCGAGTAGTTCTTTTCTCATTCCTTTTTCCTTATATGATCGCATTTGGTTAAATTTGTTGTTTCTTTGTTCTGATACAAGCAGTCTTTGAATTTGGAATATTATGATGGTAGGTATTTCAACCCAAACCACACTCTGTGTGTAGTGATTCCCTCTCCCACATTCTCCCCTCTTATTCATGCCAGTCCCATGTGCTTCATCTCATTTAGAATGTAGATCAGATGTTCATCATATTTTGTGTATGCACGCAGTCTTGTTTGTGCTTAGTGTCGAGGAAAACATGAATCAAGGGTGGTGTTGTATGTCAAAATACTAGATAAGGCACCAAAATTGTTTTCAGATGATTGTCCTGTTTGAGGCATGCTAGTACTGGGTGTTTTGGGGGTTGACATGTTAGTTACCAGCATGTATGTTAAGAAACAAGTTTTGAAAGCTGCTGTTTCTTAAAGCTTAGGGACAGGAAGAAGAATTCAATCCAGAAGAGCTGGGTAGGCACCTTCCATGTGTCAGGACTCGAGTCTCATGCTAAGCAAAGGCTTGGATGCTGTGTTTAATTAGGCTTTATTCTGTGGTTAATTTACCAGATACTGTCAGCAGATATTTGTGTAGTCCAGAGATACAGTATTGGAATCATGTAGGCTGTATGCCATGCACCAGAATGGAGGGCACATCATGTTTGTGTGGCTCTGTATTTCCTTAGTGGCTTAAATAAGCATCATACTTTTAAAACTACGTTTTATCAGCCAAGGGACTTTTCCTTCAGTCTGTGCAGTGCTTATGTTACATATAAAACTTAAACTCTCTTAAATTATGCCTGGTTTTGGCCAGAGATCTTTGCTGCACATTAGTGACAACTTTTTTAGTCCAGTTTCAGAATCATTTTTGAGCAGCGTGGCCCCTTTGCAGTGATAAGGTAGCTTTAGGGTTACTGATACAGTCAGCTTTTTTTTCTTTTTCTTTTTTTTCTTTTAAAACATAGAGACATTTTATCACTAGGTAGTGTAGAGCGTTTCTCTCTAAGTTGTTGTCCTAAGCATTACAACATTGCATTTGAACGCATGGTAGCTTTTTGTAGTGCATCTTAAGTAGGTGCTAAAGATGTACAGTTTGCAAATACAAAAGAAACTGAGACATCTTTGCTCACAGCAACTGAATAAACCCTTGTCATCATCTGTGGCTTTCACTCATGGCAGTTGCAGTGTTCTGGGTTTTTCTGATGCTGTCCTAGGGCTAATTTCAATGACAGCATGAGCAGGGTCAGTTCTGTTTGTGCCTGGGGTACTGATATAGCAGCTGACACTTTCAGAGTGTCACACAAGTGGATAATCCTCACAGTGTGCTTCTAAGGGGGGATATGTAGTATTTTTGTTCCCTCTTTAAGAGCTGCAAAACTGAGGAAAAAAACGTTCCTCAGATGTTGACTTATTCCCCTTCACCAGGGTTGCCTGAAGTTGTTCGCTTCTGGTAAAATTTGGCTTGCAGGGTTTTGGAGTTGTGCCCATCTATTTATTCTGGCCCACCTAACCCTGCCCCCTATATGACCACAGATAGCACATAGTGAAGAGGAGAAGTGTCCCCCCCTGCCCCTTGAACCAAGATTTGTTTAAATGGCTTTTCAGATTAAAAGTGGCCTCACTGTTTAAAAGTTGAACATAAAACAGAAAGAGAGAAAACACTCTGCTTCCTCAGTCCTAATCAAATGAACATTCAAGGTAGCAGACCAGCGTTTTCAGTTTTGAGAGCTGTTAATTCTGCAAGCTCAGAAAGTCAGACAGTTCTTTGGTAGCCTGACATAAGTTGGCTCTGCCATGAGAAATTCCTCATTTCAGGCCACAGAACTTAAAACAGTAGCAACAAAATCATTTTTAATTTTCTACATACTAGATTCAAACTGTGAATTAGTGAGATAATTAGCTGCCTTGTGGGTTCAGAGCAATCCAGCTGAATGGCTTCTGGAACAGTGTCAGTGAGGAGGGCAGAGCTTGGGTCTCTGCTTGGAGTGAGAGGAAACCTTGCAATCTCCAAGTTGAGAAAACCCACCTTTGAATGCAGTGTCATCATAGAGCTTTGTGTACATTGCTGTTCTGCTTTGCTACTGGTAGCTGTACAGAAAGTCATAATGTGAATTCTGGGTCTGGCAGCATTGCTCAGCTGGAGCTAGGAAGTGGGGAGGCAGAGGCCAGGAGCAGCAGAAATGCCCGTAGCCATGTGCTAGAGGCTTTCCTCGCTGTTTGTTGTTGGTAGAAGAATTAACAGGTTCTGTTTTGAGCCCACCAAGTTAATTTCTTTCTGTCTTTTAACGTTGCTCTAATAAAGCATGGTTTATGGCCTTCACTTGCTGTCCTCTATCTTTCTTCCTTTTCTTCTTTTTTAACATTTAAGTTGCATGGATGTCTTTAGTTTTTAGCATGTATTTATCTGCAGGCTAACGTGGTTATAACTCTATTAGCCCTAACTCCTTACCTTGCCAGGGGTACATGAAGCAGAGCCCCTGATTCTCTGGAGGAAGGAAGCCACAACCCTGAGCTCCACTAAAGCAGGTGGAAAGATGGGGTTCTGGGTCTGTGGCTCCCTTCCTGGCTATGGGAGATAACATCTAATGCCAGGCTCAAGCTGGTTAGATCTCCCATGCAGCTGAGAAATGTCCAGTCCCAGTGCCTAGGATTGACCCAATGCTATATATAAGGAAGAATACTGACTACCAGAGTTGGAGGTATGGAAAAACACATGAATGGGGAGTTTCACACAGTGATGTTCAGCATTGGTGCCACACCTGGGAGCTTCTCCTGATGAATTTGCTGAGCTGGTGAGAAAGGTGTCCATGCTCCTTCACTTTGGTGGCTTTGAGCTGAGTGTCCAAAGTTTCTGTGGCAGAGCTGCTTTAGACAGATGTGGTCAAATACGTTGGGCGATGAGACCATGGCCAGCACTTCCCCAGAAAGTGCTTGAGCAGAAGGGCTGGAGAACTGTCTTTAGGAGGGTCAGGGTGGCCACTCAGTGTCATTCTCCCAGATGCTTCAGTTGTTTGCCTCATTATTTCCGTCCTGCTGCTTGAACTGTCATGCAGACACTTGGCAAGAGAGGTGGTGTGAGACTGTCATCTGTTTTCATTTCTCCTTTACATTATTAAGGGGACAGAGGGAGGAGAAAAGATTTATTGGGTCACTTACGTGGAGGTGAACTTGTGAGACTCACATATTCCCTGGTATGAAATAAGTTCCCCATGTTGCTCCTTACCTTTGTGCCTGTCGTCGTGCTCCTCACCCACTGAAATTGGATCCCACTGAAGTGACAAGGATGGCCTCTCAGAGGAAAATTCTCCCAATGCAGACAAGCAGCTTCCCAAATCTACCACTCTGCCTTAAACCAAAAAGTAAAACTGAGTCAATTTAAAGCCACAACCTGCAGGCCATACAACCAGTTATTCTTGTTATTTTGGATCATACTCTGTTTATCCTGTTCTTTTTCTGGTTTTCTTCTGTTTGTTCTGTTGTTTTGTTTTTATTTCCCCTCTCTCATTCTCTCTATTGTATTCCTCCTGTCTGACTCTGACCTTTCTGGATTTGGTGTGGTTCTTAACAGAGGAGAAAGCGAGGAGTTTAGGTTGCAGCAGTCTGGCCTCCCAGGGCAGAGCATCGTAAGAGCGGCCAGGTGATGCAGGGTAGAGAGCCGCTTTGAGGTGGCTTGAGATACATTCAACATATCCAGGGCTTTTATTTCCTAAGGATACTTTTTTATTTTGTGAGAGGGAAGTTGAGTCTGTAGATTAGCACAGTGGGCTCGAAAAACTTGCTATATCCAGTTTTGTTAATCCGAAAGTCAATAAATAGGGCAAGGAGGCGGCCCGAAGAGGAGAGGGATGAAGAGGCAATGGGTGCAGCCTTTCCAAATCTGTTAGCCCAGGGAGGGCACCGTGGCCGCCTGCCAGCCCCAGGATGGTGCACAGGGCCGGGCCCGAGGCCCCTTGCTGTAGCTAACTGTCTGCGTCGGCATCTCTGCCTTCATTCACAGATAACTCTCTCCCTGTTTCTAGGAGAAAAAAAAAGTGCGTTCGCTACATACAAGGTGAAGGCAGCTGCGTCAGCCCACCCTCTTCAGATGGAAGCTTACTAGACTCTCCTCCGTCCTCCCCCGCCATGCTCGCCTCCCCCTCCAGAGACTCGAAACCACAGACTGAACAAACGCAACCCCTCTCGCTCTCCCTGAAGCCCGACCCGCTGGCGCACCTGGTCATGATGCCGCCGCCATCCTCGCTCGTCCTCGCCGAGAGCGCTGCGAGCAAGCCCGGCGCCCTGCCTGCCGCCAGCTGCCCCAACGGGGCCCTGGACCACGCGCCGGCCGCCCTCCCGCCGGCCACATCCCTCGCACAGCCCTCCACCTCCTCCCTACATTCCCACAGCTCGCTGGTGGGGCCGCAGCCCCAGCCGCTCTCCCTCGTAACCAAGTCCTTAGAATAGCTTTAGCCTCTGTCGCCCTTTCGGTTTCCTTCGGGGGGGTTGGAATCTGTTGGGATTTGGGTTTTGTTTCGTTTTGTTTTGTTTGTTTTCCTTTTTTTTTCAATTTTTTTTTCTTTTTTTCTTTTCCTCCTCCTCGTTGTCGTCCACCGTTTGTCGTCGTTTCTCGGTTTCGTTTCCAGTTCGTGCCACATGGCTACATTAGTTGATGTTTTATCGAGTTCATTGGTCAATATTTGACCCATTCTTATTTCAATTTCTCCTTTTTAAATATGTAGATGAGAAAAGCCTCATGATTCTGCCAAAATTTTTATCAACAGCTGTTTAAAGTCTTTGTAGCGTTTAAAAAATATATATATATACATAATTGTTATGTAGTTCCAATAGCTTAGTTTTAAAGACTGATTTTAAAAATTAAAAAAAAAAAAAAAAAAAAAAAAAAAAAAGAAGCAATTTTGAAGCAGCCCTTGCCGGAGGCATTGGTTCTTTATTATTTGTATTAAATACGAGCTTGCGAACCAATCATTTTACATCTGGTTTTTAAACCTTTAAGGGCACGGTGAATGCAGTGCCGCTACTACTTCTTTTTTTTTTTTTTCCTTCCTCGTGTGAAACAACCTTTATTGTGATGTTACTTGTTATTGTTTAAATGTACAGAAACAAAGGGTTAAAAAAAAAAAAATGTGTTAATATACCTTGTTCCATGGTGTTGTTCTTTTTGGGGGAGGGAACGCTACTCAACAATTAAAAGTATCACAACGCTATTGGACCAGTAGTATTTATTGCTTTAGAAATTGCTTGTTGTATCTGTATGTTGTCCCTTTTTAAATGGTTTTTTTCCTCTTTTTTTCTTGAAACATTGTATAAAGTTTTTTTTTTTGTTTTTTTTTTTGCCCTTAGTGTAAGCATCTTATATATAACAACTCATTTGTACAAGGTTTTTAAGTTTATATATAAATGTGTATATATATATTTTTTCCAGGATTTTTTTTTTTTTTTGACTTCCTTTTGTGATTTTTTTTTTTTTCTGTATGAAACACAGTTGCCACCAAACGGACATTCGCAGACGCGTTTTTCAAGGATCAATAGTGTACAAAAGATAGAAATCGCTTTAAAAGCCATTACACAAACACACACGCAAAATAAAGAGACTTGAAAACTGAGCAAGGGAATTTTTCACAACACTGTTTGAAAATTAGCAAGGTCCAAGTGTGTCCCGTTCAGAACTGCAGCTGGATCCCCTGCGGCATTAGGACTGTAGGCTGTGTGCAAAATCTCCATGTGCCAAAATTCTCAGTGACTTTTAACTTTCTCCCGACAACCTTATTATTTTATTATTATTATTTTTTTTAATGCTGTAATTTTTTTGTTCATCATGTTTTGCTGTGATGTTACATAGGTAGATATGTATGTAGTTTTAATGTCACCTATAACAGACGTGTTTGGTAGCAGATTGTCCGGAAAGCATTTAAAATGAAGAGGTATAAACCCTTAAGGGCCAAATTCTGTATATTAGATTATTCATAAAAGGAAAATCAGACTGCCACTTTTATGTACACTTACTACATACAGGTAGGTAGCAAACTTAAAACATAAAAAAAAAAAAAATCTAGGCATGTTGATGTTGCAAAAAACGCTGTATAAAGCTGAAAAATTGTTCATCTGTTCATTCAGTGCCATTGTAGTTGACATGAAGCGATTGTAAAACTGTCTCAGATTTTTCTCTGGTTTATTAAGATGCTAACTATAACATTTTTTGTGAATACTTTGAATGTTTCCTAACAGTTGTGATGTTACTGTTCCGTTTTATGCTCTTATTCCGATTTTCATTTTTAATGGTTTGGAAGCCATTTTTTGTAATGAATAAATGTTCATGCTGTACAGTATCTGTAGCATGCAGTTCTGGATTAATAAAAGCAACTTAGTATGTGCAGAGAACGACTTGTCAACTCATTTATGCATTGACTGCATTTCACTCAGGCCGAAAAGATTGACAGCCTGAGTGGAAACCTTCCTTGAAATACTGTTGCAAAAGATGTGGTGACAGGCAGGTAGCTCTGCTCACACCAGGTCCTGCTGCTGCCCTGGTCTGCGGCCTGCACGTGCGTTTTGCACCAGCACACATTTGTGTGAGCAGCAGTAGTTGAAAATGCATTTGATTTCAGATATGAATTCAAGTTTGATTTTATTTGCATACGATTTGGCAAAAGGCAAATAGCATGTGAGTGAAGTCATGTTGTCCTTCCAGTGTGAGCCTGACTAGGGGACGGGAGACTGGGGCTGATGAGGCCTTATTAGAAGCTAATGATCCCAACGCAGGATTGATGCAATCTAAAGGTCAGTCAGGAGAGCTCAGGCAGCCCAGACTGTCAGAATGTTGGTGCTGGTCTTAGGGTTTATCTCCCTTATAGAATTTGTCCCATTTCTGCATTTATTTATTCTTATGCAACGAGCCCTTACAGCTCAGCTCCGAGCACTGTGCACCCAGCATCCCCTTAACTGCAGCAACTCCCGTAGGTGCTGCACGATGACAGTGCGTGCCTCTGTGCATTCAAAAACTTTTATGAAACGGTTGGTTTGCTTGTTTATTTAAGTGAGAAGGGACTTTAGCTTCATCATTTCCAGGAATCTCTCACATGTGGATGTCACTGTGGCCTCAGGCATGGAAAATCTCAGCTGTAAGAATTTCTACAATGGCACTTGATGGAGAAGTCTGCCAACGTCTGCCGCCGCACTCGAGTTGTACTTTTCTTCAGTCTTGATGAGCTCTGCGGGCAGGGTAAGTGTTTTTCCTCCTATGGGGAAACAGAGGCACAGAGTGGTGATTTTTTGTGGGGTTTGGTTGCTTTCCAAGGCAGAGAAAAGGGAGCACCTGAAATACCTGTGCCCCACCTCCACTGATGGAACCACAGCAGTGTGTTGGCTACAGAAGGAATTTGCTTTGCAGAGAGGTAGGGAGGCACCAGGTGAGGAACTTCATGTTCAAACAGGATATATAGCACTTCCTATTCTACTGCTTTGTTTAAGGACTGGTTTTCAAAAGCAGGGTCAGGTACGTAAACATGATGGTTGTCCCAGGCCTTCTGCCTTCATCCCCTCAGGGCTCACACGCAGTATGGGGGCAATGGGACTGTCCTTGGGGAAAAGGGTATCACCCTCATACATTCAGAAATGTGCAAGATGCTAAATCTTGCTGTTGTTGGTAGCCAGGAAATTGAACATGATGCTCAAATTACTCTCCCACAACTTAAGGTTTCTGGAGAATATATTTTTCCTTCTTTTAAATGTTTTGACTCTCACTAGAACATGGCCATCCATCAGCCAGACAGATGTGCTGCATCTCTGCTGGGGATAACTGCTCTCTTCTAATGTAAAACATAGTGCTCCGGGGAGAACTTTGAATACCATGATTCAAAGGAGACACCATCAAGGTATGATTCATGTGCTCAGCAAAATGGTGTGTTCTTTGCTTGCTGCATTATTAGTGAGCAGAATCCAAAACCCCCATTCCTGGACAAATTGGTTTTCCTTCTGCATATTGATTGAAAGACACATTGAACAGAGCTCCTAAGTGGTGGAAAGCTCGAGCTGGGAACCCTTGTATGCCATGGAGAACAATTGTGTATTCTTTGGAAAGGAACTGGTTGGGTTTCCAGCAGGTTGTGCATTGGCTGTGTCCCTTGAGGGGCTGATGCCTCCTGACTGGTCTCCAAATTCCCATACTCAGAACTCCCAGGCTGAGGCAAAGCTTTGGGGCAGAGCAGGGCCAGGACTGGCTGCAGGGATGTACCCTGGTCCCCTCTTTGCCCCCAGAGTGGTGTGTGGGGCACACTGGCATGCTCTGTCCTCACATGAGCTGCCATGGGATAGTGTGGGGCCTGGCATACAGCAGCCAATTCATTGCAGGTATTGCTTCCATCTGTTTTTATGGGATAAGGCAAGGAAGCAAGTCAGTGTATTTCATGTTCAGGAGGCATTTATTTTCCATTAACTTTGTAAATCTCATTTTTCACTTAGTGTATGGAATTTTAAAAAGTTTAAGCAATTGCTGACTCAATAAACCAGTGCCACATGGTTTTAAGCTTTGCTTAGAAGAAAAAGAAACAATAAGAAAAGGAAAGGGAAGGCAGGAAAAAGAAAAAAAACAAACAAACAAAAAAAAAAACAATCTGTACAGTCCAATTCATTTCATTAAGCCTTATAAAGATGTAAAGAGAAGTCGTGGTATAATGGCTGCATGGGCCACTGCAACAAGCGTGAAAGAGAGCAATAATAACAACAAAAATGAATGTGTGTGACAACACTACCCAGCTATGTCTTGCATGCATATCAGAATGCTTTGCCACCTGAGACTGCATAAAGACTTTGGATGCTGTGCTGGGAGACATGCTGCAGCTGAAGACCAAATTCAGCCCAGCATAAATGCAGAGAGCTTCAGTGATCTATGTTAGATAGGAAGGAGAAGTTCCTGCAGCATTGAAACTGAATATGCCAATGTACACAGTGACTGTGGCAATTGCTGGATTAGGAATAGGGCTGGGCAGGTATTCTGACATTCATTTCAAGTTCTTGGAAGACATTTTGAGATTTTCAAGGCAGATCAGCAACAGCCAAACACATCCCAACAGCTTGTCAATGAGGCCATCATATGTATTAGGACTTACCTGCCAGTCTCTGGACTGAATTTCTACAGGGATCACTACAAAATGTTCTCTAATGGTTTACTCCCATGTTTGAGAATTTTCTCTCTCTCCCTTTTTTTTTTTTTTCTGAGGTTGTAATTGCATTGAATTTGGAGGGTGCTGGTCCAGACCTCTAAGACCCACTGTCATGAAGATCATGAAGCCAGGCTGTCCATTCAACTGTTTGGACCATCTCCTGATAACTCGTGAAACTTCCTGCATTTTGAACCAGATTAGATAGTGGCAATGAAACTCCCAGAGATGATAAAATCCCTGTGAATTCCAGGGAAATCTCTGCCGGCACTGAGAAGAGGGCTTCCAGATCCACTGCTGCAGAACAGGCTGGGAGAGATCAGCTGCTATCCATCCCCTCTGGCCATCCAGATGGCCAATTATCACACATCTACTTCTGGACCAGCATCTGCGCTCTCCTGCCCAACTGGCAGGCCAAGAAGATTAGGTAGGAGACATGGAGAGCATTGGGGTGTTGGAGGGAACAAGGGACATGGGAGAGAGTTAAGGCTATGGGGAAAAGTGGAAATATTGCAGCTGGAATATGCAACATTATGTAAGATTGCAGTGGAGAAGCGAGGGGAGGAGAAGGACAATGGGGAGATAAGAGACACATCTGCAGGACGCCAGGCCTCACTCACATTACTGCTCACAGAGTAGAGCTGC